ATCGACTTTCGATTTATTGGTCGATCGACCTACGAGTTTCAACCAACTAGAATATAAATCGTTCATAATAAATAGTCCACATAGACCGTCAAAATTGAAGTAAATAAAAGAAATTGGTTCAACAGACGGCCAATCCTGATTTCGAGTAAACTCTCATTGACCCGATTAATCTCCCCGTTTATCGCAAGTCAATAAATGTGAACTTTTGGCTCAAGACTTGTTCAAACACTAGTTAAAAAGACATAAATCAAAGGCAAAAGCTAAATCGGTGGGTTCATAAACTCCGAGGTTCGTTCATGGTGTTATATTTATTTTAGAGTAAATTACGGTCACCTCTGAAATAAAGTCAAATTACGTAAAAGACCCCCATGTTTGAATAATTACAATTACTTCTCTAAACTATGAATCTTCTTACTCTTCCACGCTTAGAGTGTCAAATTCAACATAATATTTTAGATTTCGTGGAATGTTCTCTTGTTTGTACTCGTTTTGTGCAAAAATACAGTTTATCATGCACCACGACAAGATATTTACAAGTCAAGAGACACATCTTATAATTTTCTTTTTTCAAAATGTGGAGTTCGAATGGGGTAAAACGGGTACAAACTGAAGAATATTCTACATAATCTAGAAGATCATTCCACTAAATTTGAAATCGCAAGGGTGGACGTGTAAGAAAATTTATTGTTGAGTGGTGGTTGTAATTATCCAAACATTAGGTTTTTTTTGTAATTCGAAATTAATGATACTATTTTTTTATTTATTATTTCATAAGAAAATAAATAATACTAAATAACTATATTGGGCCATATCATAGATGTATCTAACTTTCGGCATCTTATACATTCATAATTATTGGCCCAATTCCCTACACATTGGGCTAATATCTAGTCCGATTTAGAAAATATTCTAGTATTAATCAAGAAAGTTCGGCCCAAACTAAATTTTCTTGAAAACCAAATTTTATTGGGCTGCAAATTGTGTAATTCCACAAAAGTTCATAATCCAACGATCTTTCGTATGCTAGACCTGATGAAATGTATCGAATAATTCCACGTAAAAATCTACAAAATTTAATAAGTATAGTAATTTATACACGAATACGGTGTGACCGGATAAATAGGATAACACATCTCGATACTATTTTTGCTTTCGCCCATAAATTAGCTAGATTTTGAACTTTGTTATAGTTTTTTTCTCCGAGTTGTTAGCTAGATAAAGCTCGATAAAGATAAATATCGCTATACACGAGTACGGTGTGACCAGATAAATAGGATAACACATCTCGATACTGTTTTCGCATTCAGCCAGAAATTAGCTAGATTTTAAACTCCGTCATAGTTTTTCCTTCCGAGTTGTTAGCTAGATAAAGCTCGATAAAGATAAATATCGCTAATCTTGTGGTTAAGTGGTACCATTTCCGTTTTTTCTAGTAAGAACTATCGTGTTCGATTTTATTTTAGGAAGAACGACACTCGACAAAAATGATAAATAAATAAATAAAGCATAATGGTACAAAAAAGCCACTAATGACAAAAGAGTACTACCAATCACCAAAGCAGTTACCTTTTTCACAATATATATATATATATATATATATATATATATATATATATATATATATATATATATATATATATATATATATATATATATATATATATATATATATATATATATATAGAGATATATATATATATATATATATATATATATATATATATATATATATATATATATATATATCTCTCTATATATATATATATATATATATATA